GAACGGCTGAATCATTCAGGAATGAAGCAAGTGACTGTCTTTATGAACTGACGGAAATCTGTCGTAGCGACGGAACTTTAATCCCTGTGGATAAGAAAAATATTAAATGAGAAAAAGACATGTTTTGACCTCCTGTCTTTTACCTGCTGCTGTTCCTGTTGCTCCTGAATGTATCTGGAGTTTGCAGACACCAGGTGAGGCTCCAGACCGGCGTAACGATCCTTTGCCGTGGCCCCCAGCAGAGCCTGTCAGACAGGGACACGGTGCTGATGTCACTAGCGCACGTGACCATATGGATTCATACATTTCAGTTTAATAGTGAATGAATCACTCACCTGTTTGTTTTTCTTCTCTGCTTGAGCCACAGCTGAGGGACTAGAGAGCTGCTCCTTCATCAGCTACATACAGATACATATTCATGCATATGAAAATACTGGAACTCCAACATAAAATGAAAACAATAATAGAAACTGGGACAGGGATCCATACCTGCACGGATTTACGAGTTCGTTCCACAAATTCCTGCCTTTCCTGGAGTTCAGGTTCTCCTAAACGGAACTTTCCAGGGTTTGCCTCCACAATACCTGATACAGTCAAGGACTATAAAGAGATCAGCATATACATTACCAATCAAAAGTTTTAGGTTGGTAAGATTTTTTTTTTTTTTAGAAATAATAGAGCAAAGATGCATTAAAGGTGACAGTAAAGGCGGCATTTATAATGTAACAAAAGTTTATATTTCAAATCAATGCTGTTCTTTTGAACTTAATTCAAAGTATCCTGAAAAAAACTATCCATAAAAAATATTTAGCAGCACAACTGTTCTCAACATTCATAATAATAAGAAATGCTTCCCAAGCATTAAATCAGCACATTAGAACAATTTTTGAAGGAACATGTGACACTGAAGACTGGACTAATGGCTGCTAAAAAACAGCTTTATCAAACTAAATATGAAAATATAATCAAATAGAAAACTATTATTTTAACATGTAATGAGATTTCACAATATTACTGTTTTTATTGTATTTTTACCCAGCAGCCTTGGTGAGCATAAAATACTTCTTTCAAAGACAATAATAATAATAAAAAAAACATACCAACTCAGAACTTTTGACGCTAGTTTACATTCTTTTTCAAAATGTTAACATTTGTATTTTCCTTTATTTAGACCGCACAGTATTTTGGCACCTCCATCTCCCTTTTGCTTTTACGTACCTATACGTTTTTGTGAAAACTTCTACTAAGGATGTTTGACGGCATCATAGGCCTTTGGTTTATGGCAGGATACTGATGGTTTCATGCAGGTCCTCTAGGTCCCAGTCGATGGCCCTCAGGCAGTTTCGGAGTTCATTGGTGCTCCAGTCCAGCTCATCGCGGCTGACGGGGGCCTCTTCCTGCAGCAGTTCCTCCCAGCGCTCGAACAGCCCCTGTGCTTTGGACAGGGCCTTCTGCACCTCCCTGTCAAAAGCATGAGTAAACCGTGAAACCCCTTCTACCTGATGGGAATGAAAGTTGTTTATCTATATTAAACAACCTCTACACAAGCACTTTTTGGTTACTGTCATGATGGGGTGATGTCTTAATTTATCAAACATGTTTTAATATGACGAACACATTTGATTTATGTGTGGTTTCTAACTGTGCATTAAATGAATGGCAGAGACACATTTAAAACACATGCAACATACACTAGTGTGTGTTTACACTCCTGTCAACACAGGTGACTTAATTTAACCTTCCAAACTTCTAAAACGTAACTAGAAACACAGCCATACTTCTGCTTATTATTACACTAAGGCTGTTTATTGGTAAAGTCGCATGGAAACACAAATAATGTGACATTAACTGGGGCTACAGATGCTGAAGATGCTTCGCTTACCTTTAACTTAGCCTGTCAATATCAAACCCATGTCGTTTAGACAAAGATGGAGAAGATAACCTTTCTTACCCTTTAACCACGAAAAAAGGATCCTCCATCGACATATTAGCCCCTTTGGTTCAGGAGCTGTGTGAAGTCAACGGCAAGATGGCTTGTGTAAAACACGCAGGCACGTACTTGTTTTCAAAATAAAAGCAGCTCTGGTTCCAACGTACAGGCTAATTGTATCATTGACAGTTGAGACATAAAACACACATGTTCTACAACTATACCAGATACTTATTATATATATATATATATATATATATATATATATATATACACAGTTATTTTAT